AGTAGCTGGGATTACAGGCACCTGCCACCATGCCCAGCTTATTTTGTATTTTTAGTAGAGACAGGGTTTTACCACATTAGCCAGGCTGGTCTCAAACTCCTGGCCTCCAGTGATTGGCCCACCTCAGCCTCCCAAAATGCCGGAATTACAGGCATGAGCCACTGTGCTTGGCCGAATCCACATTTCTAACCCCAAAGTGTCAATTTGCGTAATTAGTTACATTTCTCCCATATGTGCTTTATCCATTTTATGCATATTTATACATGAGGTGTCATCATAAACTGATATGTTTTTACAAGTCACCTCACCACAGCTTCACATTCCAAAGCATGTATTCTTCAGAGTAGTCACATTGAAAGGATATTTATCCAAACATTGCTGCTGCATAAAATATTTTTGAAACTTCCCTTAAAAATACCTTTCTAATTTGAGCCATTCCAGGAAAGCAATCTTATTAATTTATGGTCACCCTTTAATTTTGAACCAAATTGGTGTATCCAGTTTGGGAGCCTATATTATTCACCACGAGAAGGTGGTTTTCCTGCAGCAATGAAGTCCTTTTATTGTTGCCCAAAATCTAGAACCAAGACACCTATCAAAAAGTGTTTTGAGGGGTAGCATTGAAGTAGGGAGCACTGAAATATAAAAATCATTCTCTTGGCATGAGAGCTCTTGGGATTTTTCTTTGATGGTCTCACAGTCAGTGGATCATCTGGCATGGTGTCTCATTCATTAACATAGCATTATTATTGTTATTTATAACGAGAATAAGACTTGTAATTGGTTACAGTAAATCAGATTATTCAGAAACCTTGGCTGTCACTTGCATTTTGTTAGAGCTTTACTCAGTAATTCAGTGATGGTTTCACAAATGGCCATTTGGGCAAACGGTACTTTTGGGCAGGCGTGGTGGACTCAGTGTAACAAAAAAACATTACCAAAAAATGTGACATAAAGCACCAGAGTACTAGCCTTACAAAAATTGTGTTGCTAAGGTATCAGCGAGGAGTCACTGAATTTCAGAGCTGGCAGGTAATATGTGATCTGGCCCCTTTATGTGAGGTAAGTCACTTTGTCCAGATTTTTCTTTCTTTGTGATGGAGTGGGGAGAACATGAACCATCAGAACACTCACGTAGGTTCAGGATTGGCCTTTCCAGGGGAATTGCTGGGCAGCCCTGGCTTGCCAGCCACGGTGGTCAGGAGGTGGTTTTCCTGCAGCAAGGGCCCTGGGCCTTGTTCCTGATTCTGCTTTATCTCCACAGAATGTGGTGAAGCTGATGCGAGGTCTTCTCCAGTGCATGATGAGACAGGTAGGTAGAACGCACACACATCCTTGCCAAATGGGCATTCCATGTCATTGTAATAGTGACAGTTAACATGCTTAAGATGTCTTTTACTTTTCTTCTCAAGAGGAAGAGAAATTTAAAATGTTTAGCTTACTTTTCCTCTCTTTTTCTTTTTTTTTTTTTTTTTGTGACTGGGTCTCACACTGTCACCCAGGCTGAGTACAGTGGTGTGATCACGGCTCACTGCAACCTCAAACTCCTAAGCCCAAGTGGTTCTTCCACCTCAGCCTCCTAAGTAGCTGGGACTACAGGTGTGTACCACCACACCTGGCTAATTTTTATTTTTTATTTTTTGTAGATACGACACCTCACTATGTTGCCCAGGCTGGTCTTAAACACCTGGATGCAAGTGATTCCCCCGCCTCCTGGCCTCCCAAAATGCTGGGATTACAGGCATGAGCTACCATGCCCAGCTACTTTCTCTTTCTAAAATTATTTCCAGTAACTTTGCTATTGAACCACAGTCTCAAAGGACAGTTTCTGAGAATCTCTTTTGGAGAGTTACATGAGTAAAAGGAGAACATGCTTTTTTTTAAAATGGGGAAGATAACTTTTTTTAAAGGCGCTTCTAGAAAGCCATACAGTATTGTTTATTCCATCATGTTTATAAAAGGTATATTTTCATTGAGATGAAATGCTTGAGTTTTGAAAACTTGATATTATTGTTTAGTGGTATTTTCAGTGAGAGGTAAATAAAACAGTTCATTGAGCAGGTACCGTATATGGAACATTATGCTAGGATCTCCACAAATTCAAAGATGAAGATGACACAGTCCCCACCCTTAGTCAGCATGAGCAAAAACATAGTAGCTCTTTACCTTTCAACATTAAGAAACAAGAAGTTGAAATTTAAACAGGTCCCTTTTCTCCCCTCTTTTTCTCTCTTTTACCTTCCCTCCATCTCTCCTTGAGTATCTACCGTGTGTCACAGCTGGGGATACGTAGACAAGGACACCCTTTGGCATGACCCATCACTCCTGCAGATGAGATTCTCCCCAGGCTGGTACATTTCAGGCGAGTGGGCGAGAAGAATCACCAGCACAGCCCCTCTGTGCGGTGCCCCCTAGCAGCTGACTTCCCTCCCAGAAGCGGTAGATATGAGCTCTAGATCCAGGTAGCTGGCCTTGGCCATGACCTCTGCCAGCCATGAACCCCGGTAACTGCAGAGTGGGCTTGCCTTTCCCTTAGGTGGCCAAAGTGGAGAAGTTCAAACACACTCAGAGCACCAAGGACAGCCTGCATGCCAAGTATAACACCGCCACCTGTGGCACAGTGGTGGGCGATGACCAGTGGGGCCACCTCCAGGTGGATGCCACCTCTCTCTTCCTCCTGTTCCTGGCCCAGATGACTGCCTCAGGTGAGCCGGGGTCGCTGGAGCCCATTGTATAGGGAGTGGCAATCCAGAAAAGGGGTGGGAGGAGGGCAGGCAGCGGTCAGGGTCTTAGGCCGTTTGTGCTGCTTCACTGCTTTAATAAAATACCTCAGACAAGGCCAGTTTTACAGAACCAAAATGTGTTTTCTCACAGCTCTGGAGGCTGGGAAGTCCATGACCAAGGCACCACCAGGCTCAGTTGTCTGGTAGAGGCTCCATCCTCCAAAGAGGAGGATCGCTGTGCCCTCACCTGGGGGAAGCCAGAAAGGCAAGAGAGCCAAAGGCTCCATGAAGCCTGTTTTGAAAGAGCCTATAGCTGGGCACAGCGGCTCATGCCTGTAATCCCAGCACTTTGGGAAGCTGAGGCAGGTGGATCACCTGAGGTCGGGAGTTCGAGACCAGCCTGACCAACATAGAGAAGCCCCATCTCTACTAAAAATACAAAAATTAGTCAGTTGTGGTGGCGCATGCCTGTAATCCCAACTATTCAGGAGGCTGAGGCAGGAGAATCATTTGAACCTGGGAGGCAGAGGTTGCCGTGAGCCAAGATCGTGCCATTGCACTCCAGCCTGGGCAACAAAAACGAAACGCGAAACTCTGTCTGAAAAAAAAAGAAAGAAAATCCCTTCATCCCACACATGATGGGAAGAGTCCTCAGGGCCTGATCTCTTAATGGCCCACCTCTTAATATCATCACATTGGCCGCACCTCAGTTTTGGAGGGGACCCATTCAGACCATAGCAATCAGTATTTTAAATCAGCAGTTTACACAAAAGAAAAGCATGCTGCCTGTAATCCCAGTACTTTGGGAGGCCAAGGCGGGCGGATCACGAGGTCAAGAGATTGAGACCGTCCTGGTCAACATGGTGAAACCTTGTCTCTACTAAAAATACAAAAAAAGTTAGCTGGGTATGGTGGCATGCGCCTGTAGTCCCAGCTACTTGAGAGGCTGAGGCAGGAGAATTGCTTGAACGGGAGGCAGAGGTTGCAGTGAGCCGAGATAGCACCTCTGCACTCAAGCCTGGTGCCTGGTGACAGAGTGAGACTCTGTCTCAAAAAAAAGAAAAGCATGCTTCTCCATATTCTGTGCATTCTCCTCTGTGATAGGGCAGGGAGTGCAAGGACCCTGTCTGTAACCTGCAGAGAGGACAGTCAACCTCTGCCTGGGCCCCAGCAGGGTGAAGGCCATGGAGCTGGCTGTCTCAGCTTCCCTCTGTTGGGCACACAGCCTCCTTACTGTCACTCTCTGCTAGTTCCTAGAGCCACATAGGTCAGGTCTAACTTTGACACTTAGCTGTCTGGAGACCATCCCCCACCTGCTCTTAGAGGATCAGAAGCCCTGCCCTGTCAGCTCTCCTGCTCACTACCCTGGTCACCCTCTTTTAGACACACCCTGACTTTTCCAAATTATATCTGAACAACACCATATCCACCACTTGGCAGTGTGCCCAGGGTGAGCTGAGCAGCCTGTGGCACCTGTGCTGTGAGTAGGCTCACAGTTTGCAGGCAGCGTGCCTTGTTCCTCTTGAAGCTGGCGCCGCTGGCCTCTGTGGCAGCCTGGACGCCAGGCCTCTGTCTCCCCGACTAGGGTCTCACACCAGGCGATCCCTCTCTCCCACAATGGCATGTGCCACAGATGCTGCCCAATTTAGGGCACTGAGCGCCTGTGTCTTGGAGTTCTTATCACCTACCTGTCCAGTCAACTGATGTGCCTGAGGCCTCCCATTCATTGCAGACTGCAAATGTGAAACTCTCAAAATACCAAAAATCAGTAAGCAGTATTGTTATGGCTGTGAGAATAAATCACACATTTATGCAATTACTTTTTGGCTATGAAAGTTAATATGAGCTCACTGTAGATACCTTTGAAAATGTAACAGAATATAAAGAAAAAGATTCCACTGCCAACTTTCATTTTGCTGCACCTCCTCCAAGTCTTTTTTTCTGTGCATTTTTTTTTACATGTTTAAGGTCACATTGTATACATAAGCATAGTCTTTTTATTACATAGCATTATGACAAGCATTTCTTCCATGATATAACAAGCTTCTTCATAAACATTATTTTAGTGAGTTTATCAATGAATATACCATAATTAACTATTCCTTGAGTCCTTCTTTAATTTATTTATTTTTATTTTTATTTTCTCTTGAGACAGTTTCACTCTTATTGCCCAGGCTGGAGTGCAATTGCATGATCTCGGCTCACCGCAACCTCCACCTCCTGGGTTTAAGCAATTCTCCTGCCTCAGTCTCTAAGTAGCTGGGATTATAGGCATGTGCCACTATATATGTGTAGTTTTAGTAGAGACAAGGTTTTTCCATGTTGGTCAGGCTGGTCTCAAACTCCCAGCCTCAGGTGATCCGCCCGCCTCGGCCTCCCAGAGTGCTGGGATTACAGGCGTAAGCTAACATGCCCAGCCCCTTTCTTTTATTTATTTATTTATTTATTGAGACAGAGTCTCTGTCGCCAGGCGCCAGGCTGGAGTGCTGTGGCGTGAGCTTGGCTCACTGCAACCTCCACCTCCTGGGTTCAAGCAATGCTCCTGCCTCAGCCTCTCAAGTAGCTGGGACAACGGGCGTCTGCCACCACACCTAGCTAATTTTTGTATTTTTTAAGTAGAGAGAGGGTTTCACCATGTTGGCCAGGATGGTCTCGATCTCTTGACCTCGTGATCCGCCTGCCTCGGCCTCCTAAAGTGCTGGGATTACAGGCGTGAGCCACCGCGCCTGGCCCCTTTTATTTTGCTATTATAACTAATGTTGCAATACCAACCTTGACCCCATCTTCATTTACCTCCTTCTGAGAGTTAGATATCGCTCAAAGGCAACTCATATATATTGCCAAATTGTTTTCAGTTTCTAGCTAAACTTAGTTCTGATTCAACTTCTAATCTGGCTTATTAGTTAAGCTTCCCTCATTGATGTAAGTGTCCGTTTCCTATTATATCCATAGAAGCTTCCAGAATTCATGCTTTAAAAATACCTGTATTTGTTGTAGCTGACTGTATTTTTGCGCAGGATTAAAGGCCAGCTCCTGGAGCTGGCGACTCTGCTTTCCCTGTCTCCCACTGGGAAAAGTATTTGCCCTTCTCTTTGGCTCACTCAGAGATAGATCAGTGTCTCAGGTTCTTCTGGGCTAAAATCCTTGCTTTGTTGGACCCTTCTCTGCACCAATCCAACCTGTACCAGAGGTCCCAAACCTCTCTCAGCCCTTTCTACTCAGGCACACACAGGAAAGTGGAGCCCTCCCTCCCTCCTTCCTCCCTTTCTCCCTTCCTTCCTTCCCTTCCTCCCTCCCTCCCTTCCTCTTTCCCTCCCTGCCTCCTTCCCTCCCTTCTTCCCTCCTTCCCTTTTCTGAGATTAGACATTAATAGTTATGACTTACTTCAGAGATGCCTTTGGAAGAAAAATGAAAATGAAGTTAAAAGGGTTTATTTCCTAGTGTGATATTTGTAATTTGTGATGGGCAGCTTTCTGCGACATGACTTCATAACCTCATTGTTTTTCTTTGCTAGGCTTACGTATCATTTTCACCCTCGACGAGGTGGCCTTCATACAGAATCTTGTCTTTTACATAGAAGCTGCATATAAAGTCGCTGTAAGTATCAACCCTGGTAGCCTTTTCCGATGTGCCAGTCATCAAAAAGAGTAAAAATCATGCCAGGTGCGGTGGCTCATGCCTGTAATCCCAACACTTTGGAAGGCCAAAGCGGGCGGATCATGGCGTCAGAAGTTTGAGACCAGCCTGGCCAGCATGGTGAAACTCTGTCTCTACTAAAAATACTAAAAATAGCCAGGTATGCCGACGTGAGCCTGTAATCCCAGCAACTCGGGAGGCTGAGGCAGGAGAATCACTTGAGGCAGAGGCAGGAAGCTGAGAATCACTTGAAGCAGAAGTGGGAGGCCAAGGTTGCAGTGAGCCGATATCATGCCACTGCACTCCAGCCTGGGCGACAGAGTGAGACTCTGTCTCAAAAAAAGGAATAAAAATCATACAGTTTTTTTGAGGGCCAGACTGTTTGCAGCTGACCAAAAGGTTAGCGAGACTAAAGCTATGAGATTGTGTCACCTCCACACACAAAGTGCGTATTTTTGTCCTGGAATAGGGTTGGGAGTTTCATGATTTTGAAATGTACTCTGTGCTCTGTCTGAATCCATTATGCTTGTTTTATTTCTATTTATTTATTTTGAGCCAGAGCCTTGCTCTGTCACCCTGGCTGGTGTACAGTGGTGTGATCTCAGCTCGCTGCAGCCTCCGCCTCCCAGGTTCAAGCAATTCTCCTGCCTCAGCCTCCCAATTAGCTGGGATTACAGGTGCCCACCACCACTCCTGGCTAAGTTTTATATTTTTAGTAGAAATGGGGTTTGCCATGTTGGCCAGGCTGGTCTCAAACGCCTGACCTCAGGTAATCCTCCTGCCTCGGTCTCCCAAAGTACTGGGATTATAGGCCTGAGCCACTGCTCCCGGCCCATTATGCTTGTTTTATTTTTTTTTAATTTTTTTATTTCCATAGGTAATTGGGGAACAGGTGGTGTTTGGTTACATTCAAGTCCTTTAGTGGTGATTTGTGAGATTTTGGTGCACCCATCACCTGGGCAGTATATACCACACCCTATTTGTAGTCTTTTATTCCTCTCCCCTTTCCCACCCTTTCCCCTAGTCCCCAAAGTCCATTGTGTCATTCCTATGCCTTTGCATCCTCATAGCTTAGCTCCGACATATCAGGCAGAACATACGATGTTTGGTTTTCCATTCCTGACTTACTTCACTTAGAATAACATTCTCCAGTCTCATCCCGGTTGCTGCAAATGCTATTATTTCATTCCTTTCAATGGCTGAGTAGTATTCCATCATATACCTAACAGTTTCTTTATCTACTCATTGGCTGATGGGCATTTGGGTTGGTTCCACGTTTTTGCAGTTGTGAATTAGGCTGCTGTGAACATGCATGTGCAAGTGTCTTTTTCACATAATGACTTCTTTTCCTCTGGGTAGATACCCAGGAGTGGGATTGCTGGATTAAATGGTAGTTCCCATTATGCTTGTTTGAAATAAGATCCTAAAATGTCCTGCGGGATGCATTTGTGCTGGCCTGAGTTGGGGCTGAAGAGGTAGTAACATTAGCACCTTGGTGGGCACTGGGGTGCCATGAGCATCACCCCAACTGGGCCACAGGTAAAGGGGCTCAAGCCAGGCGGAGCCCCAACTTGGGCCAGACTTGCTGGGTATAAATGTATATAAACCCCCTTTCCTCCCAGCTTCTGTCTGGTTTGGAAGGCAAAGGCTGAGGGACCTTTACACAACAACCCCAGTGTGCAAAGCTGTCGGGGAAGGAGGAAAAGGGTAAAAGGTTTTTGTTTTTTTGTTTTTTTAAAAAAAAGCCACTGTGAGGCCAGGCGTGATGGCTCATGCCTGTAATTCCAGAACTTTGGGAGGTCAAGGCAGGCAGATCACGAGGTCAGGAGTTTGAGACCAGCCTGGCCAACATAGTGAAACCCTGTCTCTATTAAAAATACAAAACTTAGCCAGGCATGGTGGTGGGCCTCTGTAATTCCAGCTACTTGGGAGGCTGAGGCAGGAGAATCGCTTGAACCTGGAAGGTGGAGGTTGCAGTGAGCCGAGATCATGTCATTGCACCCCAGCCTGGGCAGGTGACAGTGCAAGACTCCAACTCAAAAATAAAAAAGCCACTGTGATCTAAAAGAAGGTCAGCAAAGGTTTTCTGTAAAGGGCCAGAGAGTAAATATTTTCGGCTCTACAGGATCTAGGGTCTGTTTCCTAGGTACTTGGCTCTGCCTTTCTAGCATAAAAGCAGCCTTAGACAGCACATAAACAAATGAGCATGGCTGTGCCCCAGATAGACTTTGCAAAAATAGGTGGCAAACTAAATTTGGTCTTAAGGCTGGAGTTCGCTGACCCCCAGTCTAAAGCAGTGATTCCCAACCAGAGGCAATCTTGTCCTCCCAGGGGACATGTGGCGACGTCTGGAGACATTTTGGTTGTCACATCTGGGCAGTAGATGTTACTGGCGTCTAGTAGGCTGAGACTAGGACTGCTGCTAGACATCCTAGAATGCACAGGCTAGTCCCCCACTATGCAGATTACCTGGCTTGAAATGCAGTACTGCTGAAATTGACAAAGCCTGGTCTGAAGGAACTTGAGAAGTCTGTGGAAAGGGTGGGCATTGAGTTGGACCTTGGAAGCTGAGCAGAGCCTAGATCAGCAGAAGGGAGGAGAAAGGGAGTTTGGGTGCAGGAATAGCTTGTGCAGTCCCAGAGGCAGGAACAGGCTCTGAGTGTGGCTGGGTGGGCTAGGGGGTGCTTGAAGAAAAGGGTACAGAATAAAGGAGTAGACTTAGGGGGAAAGCTGACTTGGAAAAGAGTAGAAAATAAACCCAGCTTGTGGATGTGTCCAAGAAGGCCAGATCATGGGGCATATGGCCATCCAGAGAGAGAGATGTGAATATGATCCACTAGGAAATTCACCATTCGTCATTTTAGACCCTGAAGCAGATGGAAGCAGCGATCTATGCAGTTTTTGAGGATGAATCACCCAGCACCAGGGTTGGAAGAAAGGTGGGTTGGGCCTCAGGAAGGTGCAGATGAGAGGAGTACTCAAGGAAAGAAGTCAGTTTCAGTCACCAGGCACACTCGGTGGGGAAGTTGCTCTAGGATGCCTGAGTCTCAGTCTCCACGTTTTGAAAATGTTCTGGCCGGGCACAGTGGCTCATGCCTATAATCCCAGCACTTTGGGAAGCCGAGGCAGGTGGATCACCTGAGGCCAAGAGTTTGAGACCAGTCTGACCAATATGGTGAAACTCCATCTCTACTAAAAATACAAAAATTAGCCAGGCATGGTGGTGTGCGCCTGTAGTCCCAGCTACTTGGGAGGCTGAGACAGGAGAATCGCTTGAACCTGGGAGATGGTGGTTGCAGTGAGCCAAGATTGCGCCACTGCACTCCAGCCTAGGTGACAGAGCGAGACTCTTTCTCAAAAAAAAAAAAAAAATTCTTTTTTTGAGATTAAAAAAAAATAAAGACTGAATTGTTGGCATCAGTCCTGTTTATGTTAGGTGGTCAGCTTTCAGTAGTGCACATAACATTGTTTCAAAACAGCATCCCATATGTGGGTTTTTAAATGAAAATATGAATGATAGGTTACGTACACACATACCAAGTCCTCTGTGTGCCAACATTCTGAGTCAATCCCTGGTAATCGGTTTGTAAATACCACGTAGGTTCGTGTTCTGTGTCTCAGTTGTGACTTTGGCTCCAGTTACTTGCTGAGCATTTTTTCCCCCAAGAGGTAATGCTAAAAGTAGGTACTAAATTATTTTAAATGCTTTTGTTGGCTTCGACTAGTTATGAGCCATGTGCTAAAGTTTCTGTATTCTATCTTACAACTTAATATAAGTTCAAAGGCATTGACTAAATAGAGAAGCAGCATTTTATTCGATTTTAAGAAGACAAAGTATTTTGTTCTCCATATATCCAGAGTTTCTTACAAATGAATACCTTCTAGAAATAAGAAATTTGAGAGTGTTGTGGCGTGCACTTTTGTCCCATTTGAGTATTTTCTTCTAAAATTCTGCACAGAGGTCTCAGGAACTGAAATTGAGGAAGAACACAGTATGAGTCTCCAGGGCCTCCAGGAAGATCCACTTGTGTTTTAGTGTGCCTGCGGGAACATAAAGGAAGCATTTTTCCCATAGCACTTCTCATATACCTCTCCCTCACCTCTGATTCCTACCTTTTTCTCCCCCAGGATTATGGAATGTGGGAGCGTGGAGATAAGACTAATCAGGGCATCCCGGAGTTGAACGCAAGCTCCGTAGGAATGGCCAAGGTAACAGTTGCCCTGCTTGTTCTTCCTTCTGCACGTTTTTACTGCTTTGATTCTGTTTCCTTCATCAGGAGTTTGGATTTAATCTGATTAGCATATGTTTTCAAAAGTCGACAGCAAGTATGTGAAATTCAAGTGGCACAGGTACCCCAGCCACCTGAAATTCTAGGTAAAGAGGGTAGATTTCCAGTGCTGAAATCTGCACATGGCAGAAAGTAAGAGTGCCCCATCCTGGTTAGCCGCTGCCATCACCCACGGGTCTAAGCTCTTGCTGTTGCTAAATAAGCTGCATGTATAATGTCCGGTCTTCTTTTCTGGGTCACAGAGAGGACTGAAGAATATCACCACTTTGTAGGTTGGGCTCACAAGTTCAAAAGTCTACAAGGTCAGGCAAGTAATGGATGCAGAATGAAACTAGCCAGACAGCAAGATGGGAGTGGGGGAGGTATTGGGGACACTGGGAAGCTTTCCCTAAAGGTATTCTGATTCAAACTCATATAAAATACTCTTCAAGCCAAAAAAAACACACCTATAGGGCAGATTTAATCTGTGCGTTACCAGTTTGCTTCTCTTGCCATAGACTTATAGGGTGCCTCCTTCCTTCCCTCCTCCAGGATGAAGCATATTTTTTGGACAGGGTAGAGCCTCCAGGGCTATAATTTTTAAAGCAACAACAAACATGCTCTCTTGAGGTAAACAGACTGAAAATATACTTATTACTAAAAGAATTAACTTTCTGGAGTGCCAGAAGTTTGAAGATAACTGTTAAAACATGTGAGAGAAAAGACTCATGAATTTACTGCACACACCCACACAGTGTTATGAACTTGTTAATTCATTTTTTGGTAGAACACTAACTTCACTTTGGAAAATGTTTTTCTGTTTTCTCTTTCTTGTTTCTGTAATGAGCAGCAATGTACAGGAGAGCTCTGATCCAGTGAAAATAAGAATAGGGTGGGGCACAGTGGCTCATGCCTGTAATCCCAGCACTTTGGGAGGCCGAGGTGGAAGGATAACCTGAGCCCAGGAGTTCAAGACCAGCCCCAGCAAAATGGCGAGACCCTGTCTCTACAAAAA